TATTTTGGAGATTAAATCCTTGTCTGATGTATCATTGGCAAATATGTTTTCCCATATGGTTGGTTCCCTTTTCATTGTGATGATGGTTTCTTTAGCCCTGCAGAAGCTTTTAAATCTGATGTTTATTTTTTATCTTTGTTGTCCTTGCTCTAGGAGATATATTGGCAAAAATATTGTTACACAAGATATCTGAAATTTCAATGCTTGTGTTTTCCTCTAGGATTTTTATGGTGTTGCAACTTGTATTTAAGTCTTTTATCTATCTTGAGTTTATTTTGGTGTATGGTGTTAGTTGGTGGTCTGGTTTCATTTTTTTTTTTTTTGTATGTACCAGTTCAGTTCTCCCAAAACAATTTATTGAAGAGATTGCCTTTACTCCATTGTATGCTCTTTCCTCCTTTGTCCAATATTAATTGACCATAAAGACATGGGCTTATTTCTGGGCTCTCTATTCTGTTCCATTGATCTATGTGTCTATTATTATGCCAGACTATTTTGATTACAGCAGCCTTGTAATATAATTTGATATCAGGTATTGTGATCCCTCCAACTTTGTTCTTTTTTCTCAAGATTGCTGAGGCTATTTGGGGCCTTGTTTGGTCCATATAAATTTTTGGAATATTTGTTCTAGATCTATGATATATGCCATTGGTATTTTAATAGGAATGACATTCAATCTACAGATTACTTTGGGTAGTATGGACATTTTAATGATGTTCATTCTTCCTATCTATGAACATGGTATATGCTTCCACTTATTGTATCTTCCTCAATTTCTTTCTTCAGTGTCTATAGTTTTCTGAGTACAAGTCTTTTACCTCCTTGGTTAAATTTATTCTTATATCCTTTTTTTGCTATTTTTGTTGCAATAGTAAATGGGATTGTTTTCTTAGTCTCTCATTTTGATAGTTCATTATTGGTGTATAAAAATGATATAGATTTCTGAGTATTGATTTTGTATCCTGCTACTTCACTGAATTCATTTATTAGGTCTAGTAAGGGTTTTTGTTTATTTGTTTGTTTATGTAGGGTTTATGTACACTATCATGTCGTCTGCAAATAATGACAGTTTTACTTTCTCCTTTCCAATTTGGATACCTTTTATTTCTTCTTGTCTGATGTCTGTGGTGAGGACTTTCAGTACTGTGTTGAATAAGAGAGGTGAAAATGAAGATCCCTGTCTTGTTCTTGATTTTAAGGGAAACGCTTTTAGTTTTTGCCCATTGAGTATGATGTTGGCTGTAGGTTTTTTGTATATGGCCTTTATTATACTGAGGTAAGATCCCTTTATTCCCACTTTGCTGAGAGTTGTTACCATATAGATCAGATTTGATGAGAGAAACAGAATCACCAGAGTGAGACAGAATGTAAGATTTGATCTTACGCAGTGGAAAAGCTACTTAAAGAATTGATGTCTGTGAGTTTACAATCATCAGGGCAGGCAGTGGGGTAGCAAAGATGGATACAAAGCTGGGTGAGCAAGACTGATCTGAACCAGTGAGGAAGAACTGGGACTCTGAAGGATGAACCTGCAACAACTTCCAAGCCACCCACTTCAATGACACAGGTGACCTGCAGAAGAAGTTACACCCTTTGTCCTGGAGCAAAACGCACACCTGGCCTGAGGAGCTAGACAAGTTAAAGAGGAGATGCCTTGAGAGCCCAGAAGCCTGCATCCACCTGTGAGAGGTGCAGCTGCACTGGAGCCACCCCAGCTGCTCCCTCCCCTCCTGCAGCCCTGGCCAACTTGCAGGAAAGGGGGGTCTGGAACCATGGTTCTGCTTAGCTCAGCTGACACAACATAGAGCCACCGCTTTAGGTCACTTTCCAGACCTGGCGGGGGGCATGGTGGGGGAGGGTTGGGCTTGAGGAAGAAATGGCTGGGAGGGTTGGTCAGAGCCAGACTGGGAGTTTGGGAATCCTTCCACGGGTCATGGGCTGGTTTTAGATACTGCGTGTTAAGTTGGAAGCAAAGGTGGAATGTGTCCCTGGCATGTCCTGAAGGTGTTGGGCATACTCGGTCTGGGGCAGGAGGACAGGAACCCTGCGATAGATTCTGAATTGGGTGTGTGTGAAGGAGGAGACCAGAGCCTGTGGCTGAGCCTCAGGTGATGTCTGCAGGTGAGGCGCAAGTCAGGCAGAAAGGCTGGCTGGACTGTGAGGGGCCAAGGCCGGAGAGATGGCGGCACAGGAGGCAGAGCCCTGGAAGACATTTGGGGATGTGGCCATCTCGGCCCTCCTTGCTGGGCAGATGCAGCTTTGATGGCGCTCCTGTCATGTTCAGAGCCGGGCTATTAGGTGACCTCCTGCAGGAACCTCTGTCCACTCTTCTGCCTCCGTGTGAGGGGCCGGTCCTGCTGTTCAGGCCCAGACTCTGCGCTGGAAGCTCAGGCACTGGACGCTAAAGTGTGCAAAAAGCCTCTGGGCTCAAGGTGCGACATTTGTCCATTCCACATGCCTTGTGAGGCCCCACCGTGTGTGGGACCCTGGGCCGGGCTGGGGACCAGGCAGGAAGCACGTGCGCCCTGGCCCTGCCTGCAGGGAGCCAGGGTGCGGTCTGGGAGAGGCAGAAGAGGAAACTAGGCACTGCAGGTGAGGGAAGAGGGGTACCAAGGGTGGAGGCCCCCCCACACCTGGGAGGGCCTCCAGAAAGAGGCAGAGTTTGAGTATGAATCTAGTCAAGCCCCTAGATCTAACCATCATGAGTAGGGAATCCAGGAGCCAGTACTGTCGTCGTCCTGAGGGAGGGACCTGTTCGGCCAGCAAGTAGTGTCCTCTCAGCTGAACTGTTCAGGGAACCGAAAAGAGCGCGGCGCACCTACGCACCTGCGGATGAAAGGAGAGTTAATAGACCGGGCAGCTCACTGCGCCATGTGGGCCTTATTTGCATCTTGAGTTTTTTAAAATGACGATGAATTACTCTGCTCAGGTTGCCATAGCAAAATACCACAGATTTTGAGGCTTAAAAACAACAGAACTTACTTCTCACAGTTCTGGAAGCCTGAAGTCCAAGATCGCGGTCTGGCAGGGCTCCATTTCCAGGGAGGATCGATTCCTGCTCCCACGGCCACTTATGCTCACGTGGCCTTTCCTGGGAGCCGTGCAGGGGTGGGGGAGTAAGAGTGTGGAGGGAGAGACCACTCCCTCTTCTTATAAGTCCACCAGGCTTACCAGATTAGGACCCCACTCATATGACCTCATTTAACCTTAATGACCTCCCAAAGGTCCTTTTTCCAAATACAGCCACACTGGAGGCCAGGGCTTAAATATGTGAATTTGGGGGACACAGCTCGGTCCATAGCAGGTGGTACTCAGGAGTGATTGGGTCTTTGAATGCTGACTTGCTATTTGATTATATTGCATATAATCAATACATCTCCAATCTCTGAGTTATTATAATGGTAATACTGTTTCATATGTACATAAACATATATAGCTGACCCTTGAACAATGCCTGGGTGAGGGGTGCTGACCTCCCACACAGTTGAAAATCCGAATGCACTTGAAGTTGGCCCTCTGCATAATGATGGAAAACACAGCTGAACCTTAAAGAAAGCAGGTTTGATCTGTGAGGATCGCTTGAATGGTGGTCAGTTGAAACTATCTGTGTGTAAGTGGACCAGTGCAGCTCAAACGTGCATTGTTTGAGGGTCAGCTGTATATAGCATGTATGAAATACATGTGTGTGTGCATGTACAGAATACATTACTATTATATGTGTATATGGGGGGGTAAGTGTATGTCCTTATTTCTCAGATACACAGGAAATACGTATGGGTGAAATCATCTGATGTCTGGGATCTGCTTCAGATGGTGTGGGAAAGGGGAGGGAATGTGGCTGCCTGTGGAGCAGGCCTGGCTATGAGTTGATGGTTGCTGGGGGTGGGTCATAGCTTCATGGGGTGCATTATATTATTCCGTATTAAAGAGTAAAAACAAGAAGTGAGGAGGATTAGTAAAATTTAGGGCGGGGAGGAGCCAGGCATCTGCTGGCAGGACTTGTTCAGGAGACGCTCTGAGAGAGTGAGCTGTTGGCGTGTGGGCCCCGGTTCACTGGCGCTGGAGCCTTGCGCTGTGCCCGCATTTTGCATACCAAGTCCCTCCACAGCAGGACAAGGACCAGTGTCAACAGGGGGCCATGGCTCAGGAAGAAAGAGACCAGAGACCAGTGGGAGGGCTCCAAAGGGCCTAAGAGGCTTGAAGAGAGCAGAGGCAGGGGTATCTGTGCCACAAAGGCTGGAAGACCAGGTGGTGGAAGAGACGTCAGGCAGAGACACCCCACATGCTGGGAGCAGGGAGCCTGGGGATGCAACAGTCAGAATGTGGTCATCGAGGCTCCCAGCTGAATCTTTGCGAGCACTGTGGACATTCCCCTGTGCTTCGGAAACATGACCTCTTTTGTGTGCCTGCTGGGTGACTTCAAGCAAGTTACTTAACCTCTCTGATCCTCACTTTTTTCTTCCATAAATTGGAAATAGTAATAGGACCCACCTCATAGGCTGTTGTGGATTAAATGAGAAAATACTTGTAAAACACTGAAGAGTGTACGTTAACTATTATTATCATCAGAGTTTCAGGGAGGAAGCGGCCCTCCCTGGGGACAATGAGGTGGGGACAGCAGCCATTAAAATGAGAACCCCAGAGGGGAGGTGAGAACACCAACTACTCCTCCCTGCCAGCCCTTATCAGACTTGTGGTTGTTTTTAATTTTTTAAAAGCTGTTTTCTTACAGCAGTGAACAAGGTCAGAAGCAGGAAAGAAGTTGCTGAGAGGGGACCAAGTAGAAGTTCCTGAATCTTGTAAGAAAGTGTGGTTGGCCAGAGATGCTCTGACCAAGAATGCAGCCAAGGGCCCAGCTCCAGAAACTACCTCTGGGTCCTGTTGTCCCCTGTTGTGTGGTTTCTGCAAGTAGGGGTCTACAGGAGTGAAAGGTCAGCCCCTGGGAGGGGTCCTGGGGCCGAGTGAGCTCCTCCCTCTTCGGGGAGCACAGAGCCTTTCCCCTTCAGGCTGCAGCTCAGGAACCACTTCCTCTTTCTTCACTCTGAAGCCAGGAGCCGGCCTGCTGACCCCCGGGCCGGCTGAGCCCCTGGGAAAGAGGAGCAGATTCTTGATGCTTTAGCCGACCTGTGACCCCAGGTTGGGGTGACTGAGTGTGCTGGCTGGAGGCCTCTCTCCCTGCCTCAGGAGACCCTGGAGGCCTGCAGGATGGAGGCGGCGAGTAAGGAGAAGCTGACCTCTGTGTCCAATCTGGTGACTGCATTTGAGAACAGCAGGTATGGGGGGGGGGTGGGAAGGATCAGCATGGCCAACTGGCTGCCGCCCTTCAGCTCCTCTGCCCACCCTGGGCCCCTGGGAAGCACAGGCTGAGGAGCGGGACCAGGGCCACCTTGGGCCCTCAGGGAGCAGCGCTCTCTCTGGGCCCTGCCCTGGACACCCAGTCCTGACTGGGCAGCGCCCATGTCACTTGGTCATGGGCTCCTCAGAGCACAGGAGAACGTTGTTTGGGCACTGAGGAGCTGGGTAAGGATGAGAGTGTCTGTTGGTGTGTCAGGGAGAGTCCAGAAGTGTGTGGTTGTAAGTGAGAGTGGGCTGCAGAACCCCACCCATTGCCCTTCCAGCGGAAATTAGAGCTAATACTTATCATGCACTTATTCTTTATGACTAGAATAACCATATAATTTATCACTCAAACCAGGACACACTTGACACTGAACATGAATGCCATTAATTATTTTGGTGGGGGTGGGTAATGGGGAAAAATCTGAGATGACCAGACAAACCAGGATGTATGGTCTGCTTACCTATGGGGCCCTGTTCCAAATGTATTATATTACTTCATTTAATCATCCAACAGCCTAACAGGGCCGGAAGGAGGTTCTATTTCTATTCTCATCTTATAGATGAGAAAATAAAAGCACAGAAAGGTGGGGAGGTTTTAAGTGCTTTAAGTTCACTGGCAATGGGTGACTCGGGGCCTTCTGTCTGAAGGAGAAAGGCTGGGTCAGATGTGTGGAGGTCACTGCTGGCTCTGTCAGGGGTTGTGTGTGTGTGTGTGTGTGTGTGTGTGTGTGTGTGTGAGACATTAACCCACTGTGCAGGCGTGTTAGGGACTGTCATAGATGGGTTCTCTGGAAATAGGCTCTGAGGTAGAGATTTATTTCAGGAGATTTCTGGAGGAACGCAGCACGGGGCAGAGGGAGAAGCTGGACCACTGTGCACTTGCAACAGAGGCCCCAGCCTGGCTCAGGGAGCCCTGGACTGGGCTGCCCCTCAGGCTGTTCCAGCTGAGGCAAAGGGCTGAGCCTGTTTACCCCATAGGCACTAGTCACTGTTTGTGGACCTTGGGTGAGGCAGCTCTCCTCCAGGAGGGCAACTCCCAGCAGGAACACAGTCAATGGCCCAGCAGCCCCCGCCAGCAGCCCCAGCCAGCAGCAGTGGTGGGGAAGAGTGCCTCCATCCTGAGGGGCTGTGGGTGGCACAGCCCAGCACCACACAGGAACTGTAGCAGACGTGGGAGCCTAAAGGAGGATCCCTGTCAGGAAGATTTTTTTCTTCCGATGATAAGCTCACAGCATTAGCACGATGCCAGCTCATGGACAATAGAGACCCCGGGAGGGGCCCAGACACTGTGCTGAGGGCACTCAGAGCAGACAGAGCCTCCAGTGGCTTGCCCGCGGAAGTGGCATAGGTGGGGACCTAGAGGGCAGTTCAATTTCCTGAGCTGGGCGACCTCACCCTGCTTCTCCCAGGGTCCTTTGCCTAGCACGTTGAGTTCAGCACCGAGGACAGCTCTAGGAGCCACCTTCCTGGCCCACCGCCCCCTTGGGTGTGGAGAGAGGGCATGGCCCAGCCAGCACTCCAGGCATGCCCAGTGGGGGCCTTCAGCACGTGTGCCCTGCCCGGCAACATTCCTAGCAGAAGGAGGCAGCCCTCAAACCAGAACGTGGTCAGAGCAGACCCTGTCAAGAGGAGGAAAGTCACCCCTTATTGTATGAGGGGCCCCGTGCCAGCTGCCGTGGCCAGGGCTTTCTTGCGAGGTCTTCCAGGGCTTTAGCTGATCTGAAACTGGGGGGTGAAGAGGAAAGAGAAGCTGGCCTGGGGCACTAGGAGAGAAATGCAGAACCTGAAACCACATGTAGAACAGAAAGCCTGAGGCCTGGCTACTTCCAAGTGCTACAGACATACAGGCAGAGGAACCAGGCACTGGGGCACCAGCGAGGGGTGGGGAAGCCCGTGCGGGGCTACCAGGGCTGGGTCACAATCTCATCTCTGCCTCAGACCAGCTGTGTGATCCAGGACAGGCCGCTTTGACCTTCCGGACCTATTTCTCCTTGACTCAAATGGGCAGGGGCAGCTTGGGGCGAAGGCTCAGGAGCCAGCCTGCCTGATCTGAATCTCACCTCTGCCACCCTCTACCTGAAAGTGACTTATCCTCTCTGTACCCCAGTTTCCTTAGCTGAAGATGGGGGTAATGAAGCTTTCTCACAAAATGTTGGAAATTTTGTACCTGGCACGTTATCCATTCCCCAGCCTGTCCTCCTCCCCCCGCCCATGCTACAGATGTGTAGGGCGCAGCTCCCACTGAACAGCCTCAGCGTCGGCAGCTCCACCCTTCCTTCGCAGTGTTCTCTGGCTCCCACCTTCCCTCGGTGTAGCAGGTACCGAGGTTCTAAGGCCTTCCCTGCTGCAGAGACTAAAAGCAGGGGTGAGGTCCACAGGTGAGAGTGATTGGCAGCTGGGGGCTTCAGGGCACTTAAAAGCCACTGTGTGCATTCCTGGCTGCATTTTAAACAGGGAAGTATGTAGTTCCCCAGAGAACTAGGCACAGTTCCTGCTGACTCATTTCGAAGACTGGAGTTCCCTCCAAGAAAGTGTTGGGAGGGAAGTGGATGTTTTGCTTAGCAAACTGCTCCTGAGGGCCAGGCACTCAGGGACCATGGCATCCCTGTGATTTGCATTAATCACCCCAAAATCCTGGCCAGGAGGTGCTATTCTTCTCCCCACTCTACAGACAGGAAACCCTCAGGTCTGCTCTCTTCTCAGGATGCCAGGAGCAGCGCCCAGAGCCCACGCGCTGGAGGCCAAGCATCACCACCCTGGGGGCGGGCCTCCCCCACCCGCCGGGCTATTGGAGAAGCCCAGCACGGAGGAGGCCCTGGGGCCTGGGCCCAGGACAGTCAGCAGGAGGTACCTGAGCTCCCTGAAGGACAAGCTTTCCAGTGGGACCTGGAGGAAATCTTGCCAGCCCAGGACCTGCCCCGGGCCAGGGACACAGGTGCCTGGGTGCTGGGGTAGGAGTGGGGTGTTGGGGGTCCCCTCCACTGACCTCTTCCCCACACACTCTTCCCCATGGGAAGCTAAATTGTCCTCGTTAAAGGCTTTTGTTGAGCTGTCTAGTGTGCACTCCACCGCCGGCATTATTCCACATGTCCCTCAGTGCAGGAGTCTTCTAAGCCAGGGAATGCAGACTCAGATAGCTTCGGGAATTTGTCCAAAGCCACACAACTTGGAACAGTCTCCACTTGTAAACCAGGTACCCATTCCAGGGGCGGCCTCAGTTTACCCACTGAAGGAGGCAACAATCCCAACTAGAAACAGAGGTCAGTACTAATTCCTGCCCTTAGACGGGTCCTGGGAAGCTCACCTCCTTTCTCTGGGTTTCAGTTTCCTCCTCTGTGTAGTTCAAAGGTCAGGCTACACGCTACTTGGACGTGAAGCCAGGCTACCAGGGGTCATGTCCCGGCTCTTCTGCTTACTGACTGTGTGACCTCGGCCATGTCACTCTAACCTCTTTGGATGATCATAATGGAATGTTCTGGTTAATAATTGCTACGTAACAAACCACCCCCCAATGCTGTAGTCGAGTGCAGTTTATTATTTCTTAACAATTTTTGGGTTGACCGGAATACTATTCATTGGTTTTTCTCTTATTTTTAAGATTTTATTTATTTATTTTGTTAGAGAGCAGGGAAGGGGGAGAGAAAGAGGGAGATAAATATTGATGTGTGAGAGAGACATCAGTTGGTTGCCTCTTGTACATACCCCAACCAGGGACCAAACCCACAACCCAGGCAAGTGCCCCAGCTGGGAATCGAACCAGCGACCTTTTACTTTGTGGGACAAGGCCCAACCCACTGAGCCCCACCAGTCAGGGCTGGGTGGTTTTTGGATTGGTCTTGCTGGAGGGTTTGTCCTACTCCGCTAGGGCTTCCATAACAAAATCCCGCAGCTGAGGGGACTTAAGCAACAAATTCATTTTCTCACAGTTCTGGAGACTTGAAGTCCAAGATCAAAGGGTCGGACTTTGATCTTGGCAGGGTTGGTTTCTGGTGAAGCCTCTCTCCTTGGCTTGCTTGCAGGTGGCTGGCTGTCTTCTTGCATGTCCTCACGTGGCCTTTCCTGTGTACACTGTTTTCCTGGTGTTTCTTCCTCTCCCCATAAAAACACCAGTGGGCTTAAGACTACCTTATGACTTCAATTAAACTTAACTGCCTCCTTAAAGGCCCTGTCTCTCCACACAGTCACATTAGAGGTTAGGGCTTCAACATAGGAATTTGAGGGAGATGTGACTCAGTTCATGACAGGGTCCCCCACGTGGCTGCAGTCGGACGGTGGCTGGGGCTGGGATGCCCACAAAGCTCAGCTCTCCCGCCTGGGACCACCGAAGCCTGGGTCCAGCGGGAATGCGGCACGGCCGGGAGTCACAGGGCATCTCCTCTCCACGAGGTCTCTTCAGCGGAGCACCCAGACCTTTGGACACAAGGCTCCCAAGACAGCACAGGCAGAAGCTCCCAGACCCTTTGGGGCTGTGGCCCAGAACGGGCATAGCCTCACTTCTGCCCCATTCTCTCAGTTAAAGCCACTCCAGTGCCAGCTCAGATGCACTGTGGGAGAGCCTGAATGCTGGGAGGGGTGCTTCACAGGGGCATCTTTGGAGACCATGCCCCAGGTGCCCACCAGAGGAGACCAAAGCTGTCCTCTCATTCTCCCCCAAACCTCCTGCAGGAGCCTGAGGAGAAAAGGATCGTCCAGGAGCTGCTGGAGACGGAGCAGGCCTATGTGGCGCGACTCCACCTGCTGGACCAGGCCAGTGTCTGGGCTGCCCCCACCCGAGCCCCAGCACCGTCTCCTCACCCGACCCCTGCCCTCCCTCCCTACCCACCTCACCAGAGCTGAGAGTTAGGCCCCCTTGATTTGATTCCGGGAAGCCTGAGTCCTCTAACCCCGCTGGCTACAGTTGGGGCAGAAACCAGGAATAGCCCATCAGTGCCACTCCCCATTCCGATCATGGTGCCCGGGCCTCACCTGTGCAGAGGACATGCCAGCCAGGCCTTCCCGGCCCCACACAGCGTCCTCATCTGCATCCCAAAGCAAACATCCTCAGCATTGTCACCCCTTCCCTCTGTCTTAAGGAGCCCCCAGGCTAAAGGGTTCAATCACCAAACATCAGCGGAGGAATCTTTAGCCTGACAAAGTCTAAGGCCCTGACAAACTCCAGACGGGCCCATTTCTGACATTCATCAGCTGCCAGCCTTTGGCCAAGTCCTTGAATGTCTAGGCCAGGGTCCGCCCGTCTGTAAAGCAACCAGAAGACTACCTTCCCTGCCTGTGTCTTCTGGGGCCATCACAAGGGTGATGGGAGACTAGGGAGGCGGATGCGCTCGACGCCAGGACCCTGACCCTAGGCTGTGCTTGTCCCCCGCCCATGCTGTGGGTGGCTCCCCCTCCGCCACAGGCCAGTGACCCTGTGGCGGCTGCAGGTCTTCTTCCAGGAGCTGCTGGAGGAGGCCCGCAGCAGCAAGGCCTTCCCCGAGGACGTGGTCAGGCTCATCTTCTCCAACATCTCGTCCATCTACCAGTTCCACGCACAGTTCTTCCTCCCAGAGCTGCAGCGGCGGCTGGATGACTGGTGAGGTCCACCAGGAGCCCCGAGCCCCCTGACTGCAGCCCTGGCCAGACTGGGGTGCAGCCTGCAGGGCACGTGCTGTGTGGCCATGGCGGTCTCCTGCGCTGGGCTCACTGTCTGCACAGCGAGGTGCTTGGACAAATGAGCCCTGGGAGGCTCTGTGTGTGTGTGTGTGTCCTGGGGAGGGGATGGATAAGGTCCTCACTAGGCTGGGTGACCCAGGAGGCTGTGCTAACTGAGGGCTTCCTACGTGCCCGGCCCTTCCCACGTGATAGGACTTTACACCTATTAACGCAATCCTCCTATCAGCCCCTGTGTGACAATGCCATCGTGGTTATGCAAGAAACCCTCTTTGTTCTCAGAAATGATCGCTAAAGTATTTAGTGGTAAAATTACTTGCTTCATATATTTTGCCAAAGAAATGCCACAATGTCTGGGACATCCTTTAAAATTCTTCAGCAAAGAAGAATGTTAGTAATTGTTAACTCCAGTGATGAATATACAGGAGCTCACTGTTATATCCTTTTTACTTTTGTTTGCTTAAAAGTTTTTATAATATGTATTTTTTAAAGACAGCCCTATGAGGTTGCCTACCATCATTTACGTTTCTCCAGAGGGGAAACCGGAGTGTAGAGAGGTTAGTTGGCGTGCCGTGGACACGCAGCGAGAGTAAGCGGTGCAGCAGAGTCCGACTCAGGCCGCCGGCTCCTGGCTGCTCTGCTCTCGCAGCCCCTGGGCTGAGTGACCTTCAGGCCCCACCACAGGAGGGTCCTGGATGGGTTCCTACCCTCTGAGTCTCGGTTTCCTCATGTCTGGGATGGGCCCAGGACTGTCTGCCTGCAGGGAATTGAATGAATGGAGACATGCCATGCTTGGCACATGGCCCTCGGTGTCGTTATGAGAAGAAGCACCAGGTGGTTCTGAACACCTGTGCCGGGCGCACACGCTGCTGAGCCTGTGGGGGAGCCAGTCCATGGGAGAGAACATGGGAGAGAACACGCCTCACACGTGTGGGAGGGCGACCTGGCCCCCATGACTGCACCCAGAAGGGCAGCAGAAAGGCTATTGGGGGTTTCAGGGAGGCCCTCAGGCCAAGGACAATACCTGGGTACCCCTCCTGCAGGACAGCCACCCCCCGTATTGGTGACGTGATCCAGAAACTGGCCCCCTTCCTGAAGATGTACAGTGAGTATGTCAAGAACTTCGAGCGAGCCGCTGAGCTGCTGGCCACCTGGACTGACAAGTCTCCTCCCTTCCAAGAGGTTCTCACTCGAATTCAGGTGAGGTGGGGGTGGGGGTGGGGCAGAGCCTGCACTGCCACCCCTGAGTGCAGTGGCTCAGTTTCCCCAGTGTTCTGGGGCACCCCCCAGGCTCAGCGCTTCCATGAGCCCCCCACCCCTCCTGCTCTCACCCCACACTGCCCCTCCCCTGTGCCTCCCCAAGAGCAGCAAGGCCTCGGGAAGCCTGACCCTGCAGCACCACATGCTGGAACCTGTGCAGAGAATCCCACGCTATGAGCTGCTGCTCAAGGAATACGTCCAGAAGCTGCCAGAAGAGTCCCCAGACCGGGCTGATGCCCAGAGTAAGGACACCCCCAGGGGACCCAGGGGGCTGGGGAGGCCTGAGCTGTTCCCATAAGTTTAATGAGCACCTACTAAAATGGTTATAATGAGCATCGGCGGTCAACTTCAATCATTGGTACTTGGCAGACATTACCTTTGCCATTAGCCATTTTTTACAGACAAGGACACTGAGGCCCAGAGAGGTTCCTGATAACTGACTTGCCCAAGGGTACACAGCCAGAAAGGAGCAGAGCTGGGATTTGAAGCCATGCCTATAGGAGGCCAAAGCCCGTGCCTTTCCAGCACCCACTGTGCCTGGCTTGGTTTGGGGAGCAGTGAGAGACACAGAAGCCAAACACCTAAGCCCCATCTTTCCGTGGCTTCCAGTCTCCCCACCAGGGTGGGAGACGGCCCCCATCACCCAGAACCTCATATGCTGGGCTGCACAGGCAGGGCTGCCCCGGGGTGCTCAGAGCAGGCCTGAGGCCACTTTGTCAAGCGTCAAGGACCTCCTGCCTCAGCCACCAGCCCAGGCGTGCAGGCGGTAACTCTGGCTCTGCTCCCCACCCCTTCAGAAGCCCTTGACATGATCTTCTCGGCCGCGCAGCACTCCAACGCAGCCATCACAGAGATGGTGAGCCACCGGCCCTCGGTGCACCCCGGGCCCTGTCACCTCCCCCTGTGCTCCCAGCCCCCAGCCCGCCCAGGTCTCTGCATCTGCTCCTCCCCTGATCCCTGTCACTGGCCCCACTGCCCCCCCCCCGCCACCCCTGTCCCTGTCCACGAGAAGTAGCAAACCTTCTCGAAGGAGGTGGGCCCCGCCAGGCCTCAGCTGAGGGCGCACCCCGTTCCCAGGAGCGGCTGCAGGACCTGTGGGACGTGTACCAGCGACTAGGCCTCGAAGACGACATAGTGGACCCCTCCAACACCCTGCTCCGCGAGGGTCCCGTGCTCAAGATCTCCTTCCGCCGCAGAGACCCCATGGAGCGATACCTTTTCTTGGTAAGGGGATGTGGGGGACCCCGGCCCCGTGGAGGGAAGCCGTGGGCCACACTGCCTGGGTCAGGTCCCGCCTGCCTGGGTCTGCCCGGTGCTGCTGCGGGGGGAAGAGGGGAGAGCCTGCTTCTCAGCCCTGGCCCTCCGCTGCTTTGGCCCTGGCTGACTTCGGACAAGTGCTGCCTCAAGGCCTCTGAGAGTCCCAGACAAGGGGTTTCCTAGACATGCCCTAGGAAGCCACAGGGTCAGCATCTGAACCCACTCTGGCTCCAAAGCCTGTGGTATCATTTGTGCTCTAGGAGCACACGGCAGGAGGGATTTAAGTTAGCTACTTGGAAGAACCGTCTGGGTTTGCACCGAAGAAGCCAGGGGTCTCCTGGAAATCTGGAAACTGGTCCTGCCTGGTGGTCAGGAGGAGGGAGCTACCCTTGCATAAGCCCCTTTCCCCGAGGCCCCGTGAGAAAGGCCTCATAGGTTTCTGAGCTCAGCTGTGGTTCCCTGGGTGCTCACAGGTGGGGCAGCCCTGCAGTGACATCCTAGTTGGATCAGGGCCCAGACAACCCCTTTCTCACAACCTGTGGCGTCCCAGGAGCTGGCCCAGAGTGTAGAGAGAGGGGTGGGAGAGCAGTGGTGCTGGGCACCCTCAGGGAAGCCCGGCTGGGCGTCCTCCTGTGCCGCCGCACACACTCATGTGGTGTCTCCCGCAGTTCAACAACATGCTGCTCTACTGCGTGCCCAGGGTCATCCAGGTGGGCGCCCAGTTCCAGGTGAGGACCCGCATCGACGTGGCCGGGATGAAGGTGAGAGGTGCCCCAAGTGCTGTCGGGCTTTATCCTCAGGGTGGGCCCAGGTATGGGGAGTAGCCAGAGGTGCCGACCCGGGTTCTCAGTCCAGGAACCCAGGCCCGGCAGGGCTGGGGCCGGCGTGGACCGGGAAGCGCGAGGAGTAAGAGCTGTCTCGTCTGTGCTCCCAGCCTTCCTGCCCAGGGCCCTTCCCAGCCCCCGCAGGCCTTTGGGGCGCCCCGCGCCAGCCTGACCCCACTTGGCTTTCCCTCCTGTCTACACCAGTGCTTCCAGAACGAGCATGCCTGCCGGAGTCCCCTGTGGGGGTCTTGTTCAAGTGCAGGCTCTGACTCAGTCAGTCTGGGGGTCCTGAGATTCTGCATGTCTAGTCAGCTCCCAGGGAGTGCTGACACTGCAGACCCACAGGCCACACCTGAGTAGGAAGGGCCTCCACTGCGAGCTGGGCTGGGTCTCCACTGCCATCTCCCCACGCAGAGGTGGCCACAGCTGTCCGCAGGGGTGCCCCCTGACGAGGCGGTCGCTGTGGATGGGCCCTGTGTCATCAGATCCTCGTAACAGCCCTGTGATGTAGGGCTCTTATTATCCCCTGCTTTGGGGTTTTTAATCTTTTAGAAATAATACTTTTATCACTTTAAAAATACAGACCATTCCAAAATCAAACAATATAAAAATATATACGATGCAAAGTCCCCTCCGCACCGCCTCCCCTCAGTGCCCTTCCTGGAGGCAGCCTTGGCTTCTCGGGAGGCCTTGCAGAGGCATCTTTTTGAACACAGACTAACACGGTATTTACCATCACTTCCTTTTCTTTCACATAAACAGTGAAACCAGTTTCACGCACACTATTTGGCACTTAGCCTTTTTGACCTGCCGGAGTGATCTGGCTCCGGAGATTGCGAGCCTCAGCACAGCAGGAGGTCGCCTTCCTTTTGCTGGGCTGCCTGGTGTCCCAGGTGCAGGTGGGCCGCGCCTCACTCAGCCAGGCCTCTACTCCGGACGTTCATGCTGTTTCCAGCCAGCAGTCTGCAAATGAGTTGAATGACTATGTGCAGTTTGCCTGTGTATGCATATATCTGTACTTAACTCTATTTTTTAAAAGATTTTATTAATTTACTTTTAGAGAGGAGAAGGGAGGGAGGAAAAGAGGGAGAGAAACATCAATGTGTGGTTGCCTCTCTCATGTCCCCTACTGGGGACCTGGCCCACAACCCAGGCATGTGCCCTGACTGGGAATTGAACCAGTGACCCTTTGGTTAGCAGGCTGGTGCTCAATCCACTGAGCCACAGCAGCCAGGGCTGATTCTATTTTTAAAATAAGGAAATAAACTCTGATACATCCAGACAATGGAATACTATTCAGTGATAAAACAAAATGAGCTATCAATCCTAAGTGCATATGACTAAGTGAAAGAAGCCAATCTGAAAAGGCTATATGATACCAACTATGTGACATTCTAGAAAAGGCAAAGCTATGGAGACAGTAAAAAGATCGGTGTTTGCCAGGTGTTAGCTGGGAGAGAGGGATGAATACACAGAGCACAGAGGATTTTTAGGGCAGGGAAACTGTTTCGTATATTGTAATGGTATACACATGTCATTATACATTTGTCCAAACCCACAAAGCACCCGATGCTGAACACGGACCCTGGTGCACACCGTGAGCCTTGGGGGACAATGGTGTGTCCGTGTAGGTCCCTCAGTCGTAACGAAGCCCCATTCTGGGGAGGGCTGTTTATAATGGGGGAGGTTATACATGTGTGAAGGCAGGGAAATCTCTACCTTCCTCTCAATTTTTTGAAGAACTTAAAACTGTTCTAAAAAATTGTCTTTAAAAAATAAAGAAATCAAAACCCAGAAGGTTAAGCAACTTGCTTGGAGTTAAACCAGGGCTGAAGGGTCAGGTATAGCCGAGCCCAGAGTCCCTGTACTAAGGCCTCGCCCAGAGGGACAAAGCGTGCAGTGGAATTGCTGGCGCAGCGCAGGGAGTGATGGGGGCCTTCCCGGTCGCTCCTCCCTGGTCCCTCCTGAGTGCAGGTGTCTCCTGAGGGCTGGGGCTAGAGGAAGTATGTGCAAGCTCCTTTTTAAAAAATGTTCAGCTACAGTTTATATTCAGCAATATTTTAGTATTTGTGTTAGTTTCAGGTATACAGCATCATGGTTAGACAATCATAAACTTTACAAAGTATTCTCCCCAATGCTTTTGTACCTGTCTGCACCATACATAGTTATTACAATATTATCGGCTGTATTCCCTGTGCTGTACTTCACATCCCTTCGACTATTTTGTACAATAACTCCCAATTTGTGCTTCTCCGTCCCTTCACCTCGTTCTCCCCACCCCCCAACCCCCTCCCCTCTGGCAACCATAAGTCTGTTCTCTGTATCTATGAGTCTGTTTCAATTTTGTTTGTTCATTTATTTTGTTCTTTAGATTTCACATATAAGTGAAATTATATGATATTTGTCTTTCTCTGACTAACTTATTTCACTTAGTATAATACATTCTAGGTCTATCCATGCTGTGACAAATGGTAAAATTTTATTCTTTTTTATGGCCAAGTAATATCCCATTGTATGTATGTACCACAACTTTTTTTATCCACTCATCTACTGATGGACACTTGGGCTGCTTCCATATCTTGGTGATTGTAAATAACACTGCAGTGAACATAGGGGTGCAATTCTTTTGAATTAGTGTTTTGGTTGGTTGGGGTTTTTGTTGTTGTTGTTGTTGTTGTTGTTGTTGTTGTTGTTTCCAGATAGATAGCCCAGAGAGGAATTTCTGGGTCATAAGGCAGTTTCATTTTTAATTTTTTGAGGTATCTTCATACCACTTTCTAATCTGCATTTCCACTAACAGTGCACAAGGGTTCTCTTTTCTTCACATCCTTGCCAACCCTTGTTGTTTGTTGATTCATTGATGATGGCCATTCTGACTGGTGTTAGATGGTGTCTCACTGTGGTTTTAGTTTACTTCTCTCTAATGATTAGTGACATTGATCATCTTTTCATGTGCCTGTTGGCCATCTGTGTGTCCTCTTTGGAGAAGTGTCTGTTCAGGTCCTTTGCCCATGTTTTCAGTGGATTGTTTTTTCATTTTGTTGATAGTTTCCTTTTCTGTGCAAAACTTTTTTAGTTTGATATAGTTTCATTTGTTTATTTTTTCCTTTGTTTCCCTTGTCTGAGGAGATACGAGATCAGAGAAAATATTGCTAAGAGAGATGTCAGTGATGTTACTGCCTATGTTTTCTTCTAAGAGTTTTGTGGTTTCAAGTGTTGCATTTGTCATTAATTCATTTTGAGTTTATTCTTGTATACAGTGTAAGAAAGTGGTCTAGTCTCATTTTTCTGCATATATCTGTCCAACTTTCCCAACACCATTTGTTGAATAGACAGTCTTTACTCCATTGTATGTTCTTGCCTCCTTTGTCATATGTTAACTGACCATATAGGCATGCGTTTATTTCTCGGCTCTCTATTTTGTTATTGATTCATGTCTGTTTTTATTTCAGTACCATGCTGGTTTAATTACTATGGCCTTGTAGCATAGATAGACATCAGGTAGCATGATACCTCCAACTTTGTTCTTTCTCAAGATTGCTGTGACTGTTTGGGGTCTTTTGTGGTTTTATATCAATTTCAGGCTTATTTGTTCCAGTTCTGTAAAACATGCCATTGGTATTTTGATAGGAATTGCATTGAATCTGTAGATTTGGGCAGTGTGGACATTCTAATGATGTTCATTCTCCCTGTCCAGGAGCACACTATGTGCCTCTGTTTATTTGCGTCTCTTCAGTTTCTTTCTTCAGTGTCCTATAATTTTCTGAGTACAGGTCTTTTACCTCCTTGATTGAGTTTATTCCTAGGTATTTTAGATGCAATCTTAAATGGGGTTGTTTTCTTAGTTTTCCTTTTTTGATTGTTCATTATCAGTGTATAAAAATGCAAATGATTTCTGAATATTTATTTTGTATTCTACTCCTTTACCAAATTCATTGACCAGTTCTAGTAGTTTTTTGGTGGAATCTTTAGGGTTCTCTAGATACGGTATTGTGTCACCTACAAATAGTGACAGTTTTACTTCTTCCTTTCCAATTTGGATATTTTTTATTTCTTCTTCTCTGATTGCTGGGGCTAGGACTTCCAGTACTGTGTTGAATAAGATGGTGAAATGGACATCCCTGTCTTATTCCTGATCTTAAGGGAAACACTTTTAGTTTTTTCCTATTGAGTGTGATATTAGTTATGGGTTTGTCACATATGGTCCTAATTATTTTGTGATATGCTCCCTCTATTCCCACTTTGCTGAGAGTTTTTATTATAAATGTGTGCTACATTTTATCAAATGCTTTTTCTGCATCTATTGATATGATCATGTGATTTTAATCTTTCATTTTGTTGATGTGATATATTATGTTAATTGATTTGCAAATATTGTAACCACCTTACATCCCTGGAATAAACCCCACTTGATCGTGGTGTATGATCTTTTGAAAGCATTGCTGAATTTGGTTTGCTAATATCTTGTTGAGGATTTTGCATCTATGTTCATCAGGATATTGGCTTATAATTTTCTTTGTAGTGTCTTTGTCTGGTTTTGGAGTCGGGATGATGCTGGTGGCGTGTGCAGGCGTGTGTTTCTGGGAGCCTCACTGGGTGGGACTGAGAAAGGCAGGTTTGTGAGGAGTTAGTTACATAGACCGGGGGTGTCAAATTCATTTTCACTGGGGGCCACATCAGCCTCAAGGTTGCCTTCAATGGGCCAAATGTAATTTTAAGACTGTAAGTGTAACTACTCCTTAACTGTTAAGTGAGAGCTCGGCACTGCCGCCAGGTAGAAACAAGGTTCTGGGCTGGATAAAACAGGTGGAGGGCTGGATTTGGCCCTCGGGCCTCATGTTTGCCACCTGTGACACAGATGGACAAATAGAGATGGGCAGCCCTGTCTTAGGACTGGCAGAAACCCAGTATTGGAAAGAAGAGGCACAGATCGACAGAAAATGCCAAGAAATGCAAAGACTAAAACAGTCATCAGGAAAAAATACGTAAAGATGGGGCTGGGAGTGTCAGGCACTCAGGGCTCATGGGCCTAGTGCGTGCTGGCTCCCTGGAGCTGCCAGTCCCAAAGAGTGTGCTCCTTGCAGGGCCGGTTTGATGCCCCAGCGGCCACACAGCACCCTCTGCTGGATGGCACAGGCCTGCCAGATGGAGAGCAGTCCACACACTGTGTCTGCATGGGAACCACTGTCTGCATCTCAGGTTTGGAGGCAGATCTGGCCTTTGACCACCATGACATTTCCCACTGGCCTGCAAGCCCCTGGCTTCCTCCTTCCCGGGAATCAGGGAGGCCTAGTTCTCAGTAGCTGATTCTCCCAAGGTCTGGCTTGGTCCTAACGCTGTGCCATCCCGCACAGGGCCAGCCTGGGAGGAAGGAAGGGATGTGAGATACACACACACGCAGCGTCTCCATGTACAACTGTGCAGGTTGTGCGCTGCACAAGCACACCTCATCCACAGCAGCAGCATAGGTGGTATAGTCACAACTCCTGTTGTCCAGCAGAGGGCAGTCAAGTGTCTTGTTCCAGGAACACCAGACTAGTATGCCAGTTTGCCAACAGATGTCAGTAACGTGTTTTGAGGAAGTGGTGTCTTTGGCTAGTTGGCACAAAGGTACCATATAGGCTGCAGGGGCCTGAACCAGCCCAGCTTGGACACTCAGCAAAGTGATCTCCAGAAACCACCCTGTCTCTCTACAGAGGTACGTGGTCCTGGACCCCAGGTCAGCAGCTGCCCCATTTCTATAAAAAGTATCATATTTTCCTACCTCTGAACTCCAAACCTTAGGTTTCTCCCTTCTTTTCCCTCTCTCCTCTCCCTCACCCCATTAGTCATGGAGTCTTGCCAGATTTCCTAATATTGTTCCTCAGGTAGAAACCTCTTCTCCCTCCCCCAGTGCAGGCTGGCCGGCACCATTTCGGTTATCACTTCCACACTGGCCTCTGGGGTACTGGTCTGTCCCATTTCCCCCAGACCCAGCCCTTCGTCCCTTACACTCAGATGCAGGAGTGACTTCCCAAGGAAGTCTTTCCACTTGAGCTTCTCCATTTGCAAACCCTCAGAGCCTCCGCATTGCCAAGAGTGTTAAGTCCAAATCACATTAGGCCGATACAGAGTGGGGCAGACTGGTTTCGTGGGCCTGGCAGGAAGACAAGTCCTGGTGTGAAGAAGGGTGCCCCCAGAGTCTGTGCTCTCTGGGACGTGGTGAGCTGCCCTGAAAGTCATCACACACGCCAGGTCACACGTGGCAACAGCCAGCAGAGGGGGCTCAAGTGTCAGATGGATTCAATGGCAACAAAATTCCCCCATACCAGGCCTTGTGGGCTCTAAGTTTATGTCTAAGCTTCCCTTTGTGACTCTCCACACTGCCTGGGAGAGGTCTGTGCTCACAGGACTCTGAGCTTGGGTGGAAATAAACCTTCTTCCATTTTACCCTTGGAGGCCAAAGACCTGAGTTTGAATTCTCATTCTGCCATTTAGGTGCTGTGTTACCTCAGGCAGGTCTCTTGCCGTCTCTGAGTCTCCATTCCCTTATGCCCTAAATGAGGATGATAGTATCTGCCTCACAAGATTGCTGTGAAGGTTTTCTTTAACTTTTTACATACATTTTAACTGAGAAAATAGAACCCCATATCCTGGCTTCAACAATTGCCAACTCAAAGCCAGTCTTGTTTCCTCAGCATTTCCCCTCTGAATTTTCTCTTATCACTTAAAAGCAATCCCAGTGACATAATTATTTCACCTGTAAATACTTCAGTATGTCTGTCAGAGATAAGAATTTTGGGGGGGTGGGGCTTTGCCCTAAAAGATGACAACAGTACCATTATCACATCTGACAAGTAGATAACAATTATTTAGTCACATCAAGATCCTTCAGCCCTGGCTGGTGTGGCTCAGTGGATTGAGTGCTGGCCTGCGAACCAAAGGGTTGTTGGTTGGATTCCTGGTCAGGGCACATGCCTGGGTTGTGGGTCAGGTCCCCAGTAGGGGGCATTCGAGAGGCAACCACACATTAATGTTTCTCTTCTTCTCTTTCTCCCACCCTTCCCCTCTCTAAAAATAAATAAATAAAATCTTTGAAAAAGATCCTTCGGGTTTCCTTGACTGTCTCATAAATGTGTTTTCACAGCTGATCTGTTTGAATCATTTGTGATATGCTTCTTTTCATATACTAAACTTTTCATATACTAAATATTCTCCCTTTTCATATACTAAACTTTCATTTCCCACTTTTTTTCTTCTTTGTTTGTTGAAAAAATCAGATCCTTTCTCTGGTAGAGGTTTTCATCATCTGGGTTTTGCTGCCTGCACCCCTATGGTGTCATTTAACATGTCCTGCGGCCTCACATATTTCTTGTAAGCTGGTAGAGAACCCAGAGGCCTGACCAGATTCAGCCATGTGGGAAGCCGGAGCTGCAGAGAGACGCCGCCCTCAGGGGCACATAATGGCTTTTAAGTGTAGGATTGATCGGTGGGTTCAGCAGTTGCGCGGATCGAATGAGAGTGTGTGTGGAGAGCCCTGGACTCCATTCAGGGCTGTCACTTAGTAAGCTCTCTCTGACTGGCAGCTTTCGTAATGGCCTTGGGACCTGCGGCATTCTGGGTGAGAGGATGGTGAAAGACAAGGAGGAATTGATCGCCCAGTTCATGGATGTTTTTGAGGGTGGATCTCTATGGTCTAGGAGTTGGGTAATCAATCCCTTCATTCACTGTAGGGGGAAGGGCAGCGATTTTCAACCGGTGTGCTGTAAGAATTTGTAAGACGTGCACTACCTGACTATTTAGTCAGGGCACTGACCTTTTTCCTTAGAGCATCAAATTGAAAAATGACAACAGCCAACACAACATAACCATCCAGTGTGAATGAATCAAAATTGTACCTGTTTTTTTGTCATATCAGCAAAAAAAGCATATTCTTGGCGCGCTGCAGAACTGTAATAGTTAGTTTATGTGTGCCGTGAGATGAGAACACTGCAGATCGCTGGGGCAGAGGGGCTCACTGCAGGCCGTAGATCTGCCCGTGCCAAAGCTGTGTCCCCCAGCCCAGTCTGCGGCCCAGTTTTCATTTCTGGCAAAGCATCTGCCAGGAGCTGTCACCCCCGACTCACATTGGGCCAGTTCAGCAGCTGCTCAAATCCCAGGAGCTCTTAGCACCACTTTTGTAGAGCAAGGCCCAGGGCAGGTGCGTTTGCTTGGGGTTAGGGAGGCGACGAACAAGCTCACTCTCTCTGTCCCAGGAGCTTGAATTGTCCCTTGGGCACAATCCATCTCCTTCCACCCCACCGTGCCTTGGGTGGGGCAGGGGACAAGTCTGAACGGCCTCCCTCCTGTTTCCGAGCAGGTGCGGGAGCTGACTGATGCGGAGTTCCCACACTCCTTCCTGGTGTCCGGGAAGCAGCGCACCCTGGAGCTGCAAGCCAGGTAGGCAGGCGGGCTGGGGGCAGGGAGGCAAAAAACTGGGAGGGGCCGCTTCCCTAACACCAGTGTTCACTTCCGAGCAGGTCCCAGGAGGAAATGATTTCCTGGATGCAGGTATCAGACCAATCCAAGGCCCCTAGGACTCTGACCGCCCCCCCCACCCAGGAAGAGGGAGGGCTGTGTGCTTGTATGCTGGGTGGGGTATGGGAGGGTGCTCGAGCCTCTGCTCCTGCCTGGCTGCTCCCTGCTGTCCCTCAGGAGTAGCTCTGTGGTGGTTTGAAGGCAAACGTGAGTCCAAACCTTGCTGTCCCTCACTGTCTAGCTGGGACAAGTCACTCCTTGAGCCTCAGTGTTCACATCTGTAATCTGGGGGTGATGTTCCCTCTTCCTTAAGTCAGCCCATGTGTGCTGAGAATCCAGTGCCTGGCACCAGGAGGCTCTCAGCAGTGTTTGTTGAGTGTGCGGATGGATGGCAGATGAGCAAGCTCGCCCTGGCACCCATTTAACCAGCTCCCTGTGCCCCCGTCCAGGCCTGCCAAGCAGCCATTGACCACATCGAGAAGCGGAATGAAACCTTCAAGGCTGCGGTCCAGGGCCCTGAGGGAGACGCCCAGGGGCAGGAGGTGAATGCGGAGTTTTTGTTCCTCCCTGGAGACTCACAGGGCTTGAAGGGACGGAGGAAGCCCACCCGCCCACCCCGACATCACCCTGCTTGGAGGCTCAGTGCCCAAGGTTCCCCATTAGCAAACAATTCCCATGGGAACCTGTGTACACAACTCGTCATAGGAAGGACTTTGCGACTATACAGCTCTGGCTGGGGGGGGGGGGTGTTGCAGGTTTGGATTTGAAGGTGCCTGAGAAATGTAAGACCTGGGGAAGGTCTCCATCCCGGGAGGGATGGGGTCGGGGACACTGTGACTAGATTTCAAATCTGAGCTCTGAACTGGGCTTGCTGGTGTTTCTGCCAAGTCACTCAACCCCTCTGGGCCTCAGTTTGCTCACCTGTAAAGCGGGAGTGATAGCGCCTGACCTGCCATACCGCCTTCATCAGTGCGGCCAGCTCTGTGTGGACGGCACGGGGAAGCACCGGGCACAGAACCCCCTCCACAAGCAGGCAGGGAGGGGCCCAGCGCTCAGGGAGTGGGCAGAAGGGTCATGAAGTGGCCGTCCTGCTGCCCCACAGCTGCAGTCCGAGGAGCTGGGCCTGCGGGCACCACAGTGGGTCCGGGACAAGATGGTGACCATGTGCATGCGCTGCCAGGAGCCCTTCAACGCCCTGACGCGCCGGCGCCACCACTGCAGGGCCTGCGGCTATGTGAGTACCCCTGCCAGCACCCCTGCCAGCACCCCTGCCAGCACCCCTGCCAGCACCCCTGCCTCCCGCCAGCTCGGCCTGCTTGCAGCGGTGTGGCCCAGGAGCGCTGGGGGAAGCTCTGCACTGGGTTTTTGAGCTGCCTCGTCTGGACCTCCCAGTGCCCACCTGTGAGGCAGGACCTGCTTATCCCCATTTTACACATGGGGAGGTGGGGCTCAGAGAGCCTAAATGACTCGCTCCTCAAGGGCGCTCCTCGAGGCCACCCTATTAATGCACCTGCTTTCTTCCCACCATTTCCCAGACCCGGCAGCAGGAATGGTCTCCAGTTTGAGGGGGAGGGCCATGCAAGCCCCTCAGCCCCCTCCCGCCTTGCACTCACCACGTCCTCAGCCCCACGCCTGCGACACACACCCCTCATTGTCCTTTCCTCGTGACTGACCTCTGCTCGCTGTCCTCTCCTCTTCCTTGCAAGTCCGCAGTGCTCCTGTGTCTGACCGATTCTGTTGCTAACTCTGCCCTCCAGGTTCAGGCCTCAGTGTCCTCACCTGTACGATGGGGGTTATAATACCTCCCTCCAGGGTGGTAGTGAGGACTCAACAAAAGAAGGTTCGCCCTTCCCTCTCCTCCTCCATTCCTTCCCCCTCCTCAAGAGCTCAGGCCCGGCTCACTCAGAGGAGCAAGTCACCAGCTGACTGAGGAAGGGACCTCCCCACTCTGGGCTGAGCTTTTTAACCAGCCACGGCACTTGAGCTGTTCTCTGCCGACATCACAACTCCCTCCATGTACTCTGCAGAGAAGCCCTTACGACCTTAGTCTTCAGTGAACTCTGGGGGCCAGAGGCCAGCTGGGCAGGTTGGGTCAAGGAGGTGTCCCCACATTGTGTTAAAATACAGTAAGAACACAGAGTAAAAGTCTAGGACTGGGGACACACCTCTGTTGAGATTTAAGCGGTGAGATATATCCTGGATCTGGGGATTAGCTACTATTCTTGGTGATTTATGTCTATAAAATAAGAGTTGAGTTCACTCACACTTGTGACTTAGTAAAGTAGTTCCTAAAAACTATTTAAATGGTTAAGAAATACAAAAAGCCACAAGAATAATATAACAACTTGAAAAGCAGGTGCATGGAAGAAATAAAATATTCTGACAACTAAATGAAATATATGATCTTTGACTGGATCCTAAATTGGAAAACAAAACCCACCACAGAAGTCGTTTTCGGGACCGTTGGTGGGAATTTGATTACAAGCCATGTGTAAATAGTAATTTTGTACCAATGTTACATTTTCTGAGTGTGATCACGGCATCACGGATGGGCAGAGACTGTTCTTGTTCCTAGGAGACACCAGCTACGTGTTTAAGGAGAAGGTGTCATGATGACTGTAATTTATACTCAAATGGTTTAGGAAAAATAAAATGCAGAAAGAGCTAAAGCACATGTGGCAAAAATGTTAACAATTGGGGCATTGAGTAGTGGCAGGGTATCACTGCATTATTCTTTGAACTTGTCTGCAGGTTTAAAATTTTTCAAAATAAAAAGTTGTCAGAGCAGAAAAGAAATACTAATAATATTTTAAAAAGTAAAAATATACTCCCAAGGTAGTTGAAGTCCTCTGCATGAGGACGTGAAGCGTCCTTGGCCCCGATTTTGGTTTCTTTCTGCCTAGCCATACCTCTGCGCTCTGTGAGTCATCCTTTCGTGGGCTGGTGCCCAGTTTCTGTCTCCCGCTGGCCAGGCGGGAGCCCCGTGAGGGTGGGGCAGGCCCAGACCTCCTCCCGTGGGGCCCTCCCAGTCACGTGCTGTGCTGGGCGCACCCAGGAGCTCACTGACAAATAGCCCCCACCCTCGTCTCCAGCTCTCGCTCTCATTTCCAAGCCCATATCCTGGACTCACAGTGACACCCCAGTGTTCCTGGAAGTCGAGTCCTGAAGCACCCCATGTTTCTTTCCAAGTCTTGTCATGCCTCTTTCACCCGGTGTCCCCGGCACGACCCATGTCGGCCTTCTTGGGGGCCTCTCCATGGTGGGCTCACTCCACAGAGTACCCACGGCAGGTCTTCTTGGCAAGAACAACCAGTCCATCACTGTTACATTAGAGCACGTTTGACTCTAAGATTGGGCAGAGTGCAAAATTTGCATGCACCTTAAAGCTAAATTGCAGAACTTGAAGGACATGTCCTGTTTGTGGAGGGCCAGTTGCTGCCGTAAGCTGAGCGGCCTTTGGCAAGTGGCTGCCCCTCTGGGATGCCCTGTTGCCCCCTGTGAGGCCAGAGAGGATAAAGACCCCAGCGCTGTGCAACCAGTGGGCTGCTGGGAGAGTCTGGTGGGATGGTGGAGGAGACAGAGGGCACTTGGAAAAGTGAATCGGGTATAAGGGGTGTGTGCAGGGCAAGCCCCTGGGATTAACAGCTGCCTTCACTGAAGGGGAGTCCAAAGGGGAGAAAAGCCAAGGCACCTGCAGAGGGGGCCAGGTGGCAGCCCCCCCAGCTGGGGAAGCCCAAAGCCTGAGCTCTCCTCCTGCATCTTGGCCTCCAGACAGCTGTCTCTCCGCCAGTGCCGGGACGGCCCCTCTCTGCCTACATTCCTCTCCCAAATCTTGCTCTTTCTTCCTCTTGCCCCTGGTTGCTCTCACACCCCCATCCAGCCAAGGTATAAACACGGTCCTCCCCAACTCGCCCGAGGCCCCAAGCCCCTCCTGCCCCTCCTCCCTCAGGTGGTGTGTGCCAGGTGCTCCGACTACCGGGCTGAGCTCAAATATGATGACAACAGGCCCAACCGAGTCTGCCTCACCTGCTACACATTCCTCACCGGAAACGTGCTCCCCGAGGACAAAGATGACAAGAGGCGGGGCATCCTGGAGGTGAGGGCCACTCTTCCCCCATTCACCAAAAGTTTACAGGACTCCCACCGCAGCGGGCACTGTCCTAGGTGCTGAGGAAAAGCCAGCCATGGCCCCGCTCTCCCTCCTCTCTCTACCCTTCACCCCCTCCCCCACCAGAGCCGGGCCTGTCACCACAGGAAAGCAACTGTTCACTCCAGGCTGTCATCCAGGCTCTTCCACTCCCCCCCTGGGTCCCCACCCAGACGGCACGGCCTCTCTGGACAGTGTTTGCTCACGTTCCCACCCCTGCCCCATAGTCCTAGGAGCTGAGGAGAGCTGGTGTTACTGACTCCATATTACAGATGGGGAGACTGAGGCTCCAGGTCAGGGCCCCACTGCTGAAAAGAGGCAGACTGGAGATCCCATTCTAACTAGAAGGGACTTCAGGGACCAGACCCAGAGCAGCGATGTGCCCAAGGTCGCCCAGTGAGTTGGGAGTCAGCTCTCTGACCTTGCCACAGATGTCCTCTCTGTCACCCTTGGGGCCTGGCTGAGCCACTCCCTGCCCCACAGGCACTCCCCAGGCCGCCCCCTCGCTGCTGGTCAGCACCGCTGGGGCACTAGCTGTGTTCAGCCACGTGCTACACATATAATGCAACCCAGCCCGGATGCTGGGCACCACTGCCCCCTGCCCCTCCTTCACTAAAGGCTGGTGGACATCCCACATCCCTGGGAGGGAGAAGACCCCAGCCTATTCCAGTGCACATGCCTCCCAGGTTTCCAGTTAGTTCCTTTTTGTGGGCATCTCCCTGCTTTCCTGTCCTCCCCATTACTCTTGGTCCAGCCCCTGCCCCCGCCCTTCCTGGCCATCCAGCAACACGGCCCGCTCCTAGAAAGAGGAGGTGGCCAGTCCTTTCTTGGGCCCCAGCTGCGTTCCCTGGGGGGACTTTCAGGTGGTAAGCTCTCCCAGCACCTGCCCCAAGTTCAGGCTAGCCGAGGTTTGACCATGACTCTGCCACTGGCCAGCCGTGCGACCACAGGCTCACGAGGGGACCTCTCTGAGCCCCAGGGACAAATAGCCCCTCCTTGCAGGGTTGCTGCAGGATTAGAAACGGTGACTGTCCAGCTCCCAGGCGGATGCCTGTCATCTAGCATGTGCTCTGTTCTCTGGCTTTAGAAGGGGTCCGCGTCGGGGTCTGAGCAGAACCTCATGTGCAGCTTCCTGCAGCTCCTCGGGGACAAGTGGGGCAAGGGCAGCACCCGGGGCTGGTGTGCGATCCCCCGGGACGACCCCCTCGTGCTCTATGTCTACGCTGCTCCTCAGGTAACGCCTTCACCTGCCCCGCCCCGCCCCCCACGCACACACACAGGTCTTGGCCTTCTTGCAGCGTGTAGGACAGGGGGAGGGTGAGTATTGTTGGCCCCGTTATCTCAGATGCAGAAACTGAGGCCCAGTGAGGACATAGTTCTCTGGAGTCACAGGATTAGTGGCTTTCAAAGTTGGGCCCAGTCTCCAGGACACAACGGCTTTGTTCTCAAGGGGCAGCAGGTTCTCTGCCCTGGTGCCCTTCTGCCAGCCCTCCTGCCTCCCGGGTGTGGGAAGTGGGAGGCAGGTGTGTGGCCATGACCTTCAAGTGACTCTCTGAGGGGTGGGCCGAATGGGAGGACAGTGGCCCACAGCTCTCTCCTCCCTCTCAGGACATGCGGGCCCACACCTCCATCCCCCTGCTGGGCTACCAGGTGACCGACGGACCCCAGGGGGACTCCCGGGTCTTCCAGCTGCAGCAGTCAGGCCAACTCTACACGTTCAAAGCTGAAACCGAGGAGCTGAAGGGCCGCTGGGTGAAAGCCATGGAGCGGGCCGCCAGTGGCTGGATCCCCGGGGAAGCCGGTGACGGGGACCTGTCTGACTGAGCGCAGCCGGCTGCTCCCCTCAGAGCCCGGCTCCTGCCACGGGCCGCCCCTGTGGCCTCTGTGACCCGCCACCCAAGCTGAGCTTTACACAGTTGATTTCTGATCATCTGTGCCCAGTGTGTCCGTTGGGAAGGCGGGCGTGGTGGCCAAGCATGCCAGTTTGCCCAAGGTTGAGGGGATTCCTAGGACAAGGGACTTTCTGTGGTAAAACCAGGGAAGTCCCAGGTTACCCAGGACTGGTGGTCACCAGTGTGGTTCTCACCCTGGGCTGCACAGCAGTATCACTGGAGACCTTTAAAAAAATATGCCCATAAAAATATATAAATAAACTAAAACTACCAGTGCCTGTAGCCACCACCGAAGATTTCTGATTTAATTGGGCTGGTGTTGGGGAGGCCTGGGTGTGTCTTGGGAGTGCCCCCACGAGTCTAACGTGCAGCCTGGGTTGCCCGGGGCAAAGGAGAAAGAGAGCAAACGACCACTGGCTGGGCACCTACAATAATAATAAAAATAATAAAAAAAATTAAAAAGTAATAATAATAAGAAGAAGATTAAGAAGAAGAAGAAGAAGAAGAAGAAGAAGAAGAAGAAGAAGAAGAAGAAACATCCACTGGGCCAGGCACTGTACTACGTACTTGACACAGACTATCTCATTTCACCCTCAGGAGTTGTGGCCCCACTTTCCAGATGGACAGTGCGTCTTAGAGTGGTTCAGTCGTTGGCCCGAGGTCACACAGCTAGTGGACGCCAAGGCCAGGGTTGAACCTGGCACACCAAGGTCAAAACTGTCAGGTGGCAGAGCATTGGGGCAAGCGAAGAGAGGAGTTGAGTGGAAAAGGAAAAGGGGGGAAGGAGTGAAGAAAAGGTGGGGGAGACAGGAGGGGAGAAGTGAAAGGAGGTGGGGAAGGCAGGTACCTCTGTTAGGCCCCTGGCTGGTGGGTGAGGCTGCTTTTCCATAAGGAACCACCAGGGGGTGGCAATGGTCAGCCAAATGCACGCTGTGGCCCCAGGCGGGGCCCTGACACCCGATGTCCCTTCCGTCAAGTCCAGACACTGCCAGGCTCTGCCCTTCAAGAAGGACAAGCGGACAAGTCATAGATCTTTGCCTGCTTCCAGGCCTAGCAGTTTGCCTGTCCCCAACCTGAGGCTACCTCCTTCCCGTGGGTGTTTTGAAAGCCCAAGAAAACCTCACTGGCATGATCCCTGGGAACCAGGCTGGCCACAAGTTCATCCATTCATTCAACAAGCATTTGTTGAGCATCTTCTATGAGGCAAGTGCAGTTCCTGTACTGGGGATACAGCAGTCAACACGACGGGCAAAAATTTCTGCCTTTATGGAGTTTATGTTCTAGTGGGGGAGATAATCAACAACGTAAGTTTGTAAAATGTAGAGCATATCAGTTGTGATAAGTGTTTAAACATGGTGATGAACCATCCTGGACTTTCCTAATTTTATAACCAAAAGTCTCCAGTCCCAGGAAACCCTGCAGTTCCAGGCAAACCCCGATGGTTGGTCACCCTAGTAGAAGCAGAAAAAGCAAGAAGGGGAATGAGGGAGAATGGGATGTGTGTGAGTGTGTGTATTTAAAAAGAAAATCAAAGAAGGCCTCACTGAGAATTTGATGTTTGAAAACAATCACAAGGAAGGAAGGGAGGGAGCTACGCAGACATCTGGGGAGGAGCATTCCACGTGGCGGGAAGAGTCGGTGCAAAGGTCCTGCTGTGGGAGCCTGCCTAGTGTCCGTGAAGAACAGTGAGGGGGTGAGTGAGGCTGGATCAGAGGACACGGGAAGGTAATCACGGGAGAAGACGCTAATCATCACTAAACCAAGGTTAGGAGTTGGGGGAAGCAGGTGGGAGGCCTCCAGAGGGCCCAGGGAGAGCAGGGACCATTGGAGGGGTCAGCTTCATTTTAACAAACACCCCTGCTGCTTGTTGTGACACAGACTGAAAGGCATGGGGGTGGGGGCAGTTTGCAGGCTATGCAGCAGTCCGGGTGGAGAGGCTTACGGCAGGTTGGAGCATTGAAAGGGGTGGGAAGGGACAGCACTGTGGCTGGATTTTGGAGGCAGATGGAGGAGATTCCCCTACAGAGTGAATGTGGTGGGAGAAGGGGAGCCAGCGGTGACCTGGGGCCTCTGTCCTGACAGCACGGAGGACCGAGACGCCACTGGCTGAGAGGAGAGACTATGGAAGGGAGGGTCAGGCGCAGCAGCACAGCAGGAGCTCTGTCGGGACTAAGTCAGAGCTGAGCTGCCCCTCACAGTCACAGCCCCCAAGGGGCGCCTGAGCTCAGGGACCAGGTGTGACCTGGGAAGTTGGTGAGGGAGCTATCATCCCAGAGATGGGGTTTAAAGTGTGTGTGAGTCAAAAGGAAGAGGTCCAAAGACTGAGCCCTGTGCACCTCAACATTTTAAATTGCACGGGACACATGAAAATTCTAACTACACTCACCAGACATTCTAGCTACATGTAACCCAACATTCTAACTACACCCACCCCAACAATCTAGCTATACTCCGACATTCTAACTCACCCTGACATTCTCACTACACCCACTCCGACATTCTATCTAAAAGCACCCCAACATTCTAACTACACTTACTCCCACATTCAAATACACGCACCCCAACAGTCTAGCTACACTCACCCAGACATTCCAACCACACTCACCCTGGCATTCTAACTACATGCACACTGACACTCTAGCTACATGCACCCCAACATTCTAACTATATGCACCCCAACATTCTAAGTATATTCACCCCAACATTCTAGCTTCATCTACCCTGACAGTCTAGCTACACTCACCCCAACACTTTAGCTACATGCACCCCAACATTCTAACCCTGCAGTTACAATTCTGAGAATTCACTCCAAGGAAGTAGGCAAGTGTGAAAAGACTCCAGTGCATTGTTACCATAGCCCCTAAACTGGAAACTGCATGAATATCCATCCAAAGGAGACTCAGTAAATGGACCTACACCCACAGAGAGGGAGGTCCTGGGAACCTCCGCCATACCCACTCCCAGAGCTGCGTGGCTGTTCAAGGGTCTTAGTGTGCTGGAGTGGGAGGTGAGTAGTAACCACAGAAGGGGCTGATCATTTTAAACACTTACTGCATCAAGCCCTGTAATGAGGCCTTGGTGGAGATTACTTCATCTAATTCTTCATAACATTAGAAACAGACACTTTGTTCGGATTCTCAGTGTACAGATGAGGAAACCGAGGCGTCGATGGCTGAGTAGTTTGCCTGTGGTCGTGTGGCACGAGAAGAGGCAGTGTCCCGAACCCTGCGCTATGAGTTTCTCTGCAGGAACTCCACAATGCCCTGCAGGAGCGGTGGCTTTGCTCTCTCCTTCAGATGCTCTGTGGCATTTGCTTTTTTTTTTAATACCTTTCATTTAATAATCACAAGAACAAAAGTGCCTTCCCCACATGAGGGGGAAGATAAAGGAAGAACAAAGTAAGAGGCACCTGCCCTGCCTTGGAGGCCTGGCCTGCCACCACTTGGGGTCAGTAAAGCATCGGTGCCAGAGCCAGAGGCTGTGTCCCAGGGCCCCCGGGAAGCACCCAGTGGGAGTGGGGCTGGCTTGTTATTCCACCCTTGAGTGTGGAGATGAGAAAACAAGAAGTGACCAGGGGTAGAGAAGAGCTGGACTGGGCAGTACCCAGGGTCTCCCTGAAGAGGAGAGCCGTGGACACAGAGGGTGCCATCCCCCCGGCCCTGCTCCTGGGAGCTGAAAGGGGCCTGTGTGACCGGGGGGAGCCCCAGCCTTCCCTGGCAGCATCTCAGCCTGGATTCACTCCCCGAGAGACACTGTGCAGCCCAGGCTCAGGCCGCATCAGGCAGCAAAGACTCGAAAGCCTTCAAAGTTTTACTACTCAGAGTTTTTACTTCTAAAAGGAAAACTTTTAGAAGGATCGCCTACAGTCAGGTGGCTGCCCCTGAAGGGAAAGCTGGGGGTGGGGGTGAGGAAAGCTGGCATTCCTCACCCTGACATTCTAGCTACACTCACCCCAACATCTCTGGGGCATCTCTGGAGAACCCACGTCAGCTGGGAGACCTTGCCTCTCCCTGCCTTCCCTCCTGGGAAACGCCCTTCCCGGGAGTTGGTCTTGCTGCTGGCATGCTGGGGTTCTGGGGCTTCACTCACTCACTCATTCATTCATTCATTCATTCATTCATTTCTTCCCAGGTTCATCATTGCTAGCACTGAGTATTTTGTTATGCAGAGAGCTCTCAGCAGACATCATCTCATTTCTGTAACAGCCTTTTGACATCAGTTCAAGGGTCCATATTTTACAAAGGGGAGGTGAAACCAAGCAAGGCTAAATATCTTCCTCATGGTCCCCCAGCCTGTAAGTAATGAACCCAGATTCACATTCAAGCCCATCTGATTCCAAAATGTTGCCCCAGCTGGCACTGGGGGGCAGCATCTCCCAGTGGTTAGTGGTCCAGGCCACCAGGCAGCTCTGCCACTTACTGGCTATGTTGTCTTAGGCAAGACTTCAGTGCTCTGTGCCCAGGTCTCCTCATCTGTCAAAGGGAGACAGCCACATTCCTGCCTCCCTGGGGAAGGGGGTGGGCATCAACTAAATGAATACGTGTGCCCAGCATTGAGAACAGAGGTGGCCCCACACGATTGTTGCTGGTGTTCACCGGTCAGATCTTTCACACCGTTCGTCTGCCTCCGTGAGCTTCCGGGCACATATTCAGGGGGTATCGAGGCAATGCAAAGTTGAATAAGCCACAGTCCCTGCCATTGGGGAGCTCATCGTCTAGGTCATTAGAATCACCTGGGAAGCTTTTGAAAAACTCCCAATGCCCAGGCTGCACCCCAAGCCCATTAAATCAGAACCCCTTATTTAGGCTGGGGCTGCAGCATCAGCATTTTAAAGCCCACCAGTGATTCTGGTGGACAGCCCCCTCAGAAAGGGCAGGACCAGCTCTTGAGCCCAGGAGCCCTGGCTCTGGCCCCCAGGGGTCTCCAGGGGGTTTAGTCTGAGTTGGTGTGGGAACTGTCCTTATCAAGGTGCTAGATGAGTTGGGTTTGCGGAGGGATAATTCACATAGAGTAACACCCACCCTTTATATAGTATAGTGCTATGAGTTTGGACAAAAGTCAGGCAACCACCATCATAATCAAGACATAGAGCAGCTGCACCCCCTTGGAAGTTTCCCTGTGCTACCCCTTTGCTGTCACCCCTTCCTCTCCTCACCAGCCCGGACCCTGGCAACCATGGATCTGCTTTCTCACCTGCGGTTTCCATGTATATGGAATCGTGTAGTATGCAGCCTTCCGAGCCTGTCTTCTTTCGCTTAGCATCATGTATTCGAGACTCATCCACGGTCG